CTCTCTCGTGCGTGATTTCAATATATTATGTCGATTTTTAAACAAGATATAAAAGTTGAAAAATTGTGTCAAATATTATAATCAACAATTAATTGAAATGACTGTAACATATATTATTTTGAAGTTAAAATTTATAAATTTCTATAATATATATTATAAATATTTTAGATTTCTTTATATTGTGTTAATTTATGTGAGACTTGTTATAATATTGTGAATCATAATATTCGGTGTAGTTATTGGTAAAATTAAATAGTAATTTTGAACTCCTTGAATAGATAATTTTTAGTATATGACTCGTTACCAAATGAATTGAATATTCGAAAAATTTATTATTAATGTTGAGATATAAATTATATTGTAATATTGTGTATCAATAAGATTTTTGTAATTGTTTTTTAAATTTATTTTGTACTTATATTATTCAATGTTCTCTTGCATATTTTGGTCTATCATATTGTTGGATGCCCATCAAAATAAGAGGACATATGATTTGTTATTAAGAATCGCTTTGTTATTAAAAATAAATAGTTAAAATTCTTTTGATATTGTGTAAAATAGTGTTCACAATTTTTATCAAAAGATTCCAAACTAATTAAATGATTTTTTTCAGGATCACTATAAATATTTTGGTATATGGTTGGTTACCAAATGAATAAAAAATTACTGACATTTTGTTATTAATGTTGATAAATAAGATTCTATTGTGAAGTTGTGATGAATAACATAATAAACTTTTAATAATTGATTTATAATTTTATTTTGTAATTTTATCATGCATATTCAAATAATTTTTTTTTTTAAATAAAAAAACAAAACCTATTTAATAGATATTTTTTTGAAGACATGTTTATGTTTGGTTACCAAAAGAATAAGAAATTCTAGTGATCCGTAATTAATATGAAGAATCGAATTTTTATTATGATTATATTACAGAATAGTTTTCAAAATGGATACCACTTTATTTTTATAGAAAGTCGTGCTATTAACTGAGTTGCACAATTTACAACATGTTCGTATAATTATATTTTTAATGTTTTTATAATTACTAAAGTAATTTTTACAATATTTCACTTAAAAATAAGTCAACATATTTAACTATAAAGTCAATCTTACTATTTTAAATTATTCCATCAGTCTCTTCTACTACCTCCTTTTTTAAATAAATGTCGTTTTGACTTTTTTGATTCATTCATTTTGCTATGTATCTAGACATTAATATGTCTAGATACATAGCAAAATAAATGAATCAAAAAAGTCAAAACGACATTTATTTAAAAAAGGAGGGAGTAATATATATCGATTTCCTAGTAAAAATAGGTCCATAAAATCGGATTGCAAGTTGAATGTAGAAAGTTTGTTACACATTCCATAACATTTCAATTTCAATAGTTCATTACATTAGCTTTTTGGTATAAAAATGAGTTCTCATATTAGGTTTGGCCACATTTAGAATGATTATTTTAAGCTAGCACTGTCAAACGGGCCAGTGGCCCGCGGGCTGGCCCGCCCGCCCGCTTAAACGGACGGGCTTGGGCCTTTGCTTGGCCAGCCCGTTCAATCGCGGGCCTATTTGGCCCACGGGCCCTTTTTTTTTATATAAATAAATGTAGTATTTTTTTATTTTATTTCTAATTTCTATCTTGCACATGAAAATTTTTTTTTACATAATAAAAATATTAATAAATCAAATAATATTTTATGTCAATTAAGTCGTTCCTGCGCGTGCATACCCTATAACTATTGATAAAAAAAAATAAAAATAAAAATTAGATGACAAATATTTAACATCATTACACATGAAACCTTACTAGTTTATTAATATACTAGTAAATATAAGAATAAACAAACCAAAAAATATATAAGAGTGAAAAAAAAAAAAAAAAAAAAAAAACCGTGGGTGGGCCAATTTGGCCCGCGGGCTAATGCGGGCGGGCCACGGGCTATGTATTTTCCAGCCCGCAGAAATGCGGGCCATTTTGGCCCGCCCTGTTTGGACCGCGGGCCGGGCCGGGCCGGCCCGTTTGACAGTGCTATTTTAAGCATATGATTATATGCTTTTCGTACACTTATTTAGAAGTGAAATTTCCAATAAAAACTGGCCATCGAGATTTTTAACAAACAAAAATTCATTATACGTAATAATCAACACTGGTACAATGCCCGTGAATTGCTAGGGTGTTAAATAAGAAAAAAAAAATTGTACAACAAAAAATAAAAAAGAAACACAATTTTTAAATAAAAACTATAAATAAGTAAAAAGAAAGTATAAGAATTTATAATATGATTTTAAATTCTAGAAAATATTGTGTATGAAAAATATTATTTTATTTAAAATAAGATATAATCATTTTTTAAAACTAAATAAAAATATAAATTTATTTTTTAGTTAATATAACGTCCATAAACAAAACAGGTTTATTAGAACAAAATATTTAAACTAAAAAAAAATAAGAAATTTATATTCTTATAATATAATGATAAAAAAATTAAATATGCAACTAATAACTAAAAAATTAACAAAGTTAATTATTTAAAACAATACTTGTATTTTGCACTCGATAAACATTATAATGATATTTCTTTAATATCACACACACACACACATATAAACTTATTTAATATCTTTGTCTAACAAAAAACTCATATATAATGTTTTGGCTAAAAAAACTCTGATTAAAAGATGTGGAATATAAATTATAATTAACTCTATTATTTTTTAAACTTAACGCTAATTAAAAGATGTGAAAAGTAGTGATAAACCTATTGTTTTTTATACTTAAACGGACAGAGCCTAACTCATTTAATATTTTTGTCCCGTGCATATCACACGAGGTATTTACTAGTTTACATAAAAAGCAAAAAAATTGTTTCTGTAAAATTTATTGTAAATTTTGTCAATCACCAACAATTTACAATAACAAAGCAGCTTCAAAACAGCAAAAAATCCCTTTATTAGTAGCAACTCAAGATATATAGTTTCTGTAGAACAATATGTACATAAAAAGCCAATCCAACAGCAGATATCGAGTCGAAAAGTACTAATGCAGGAAAGAAAAATAGAATATATATCGAAATGTAAAAAAAAGTCCCAAGCCGAGGCCAAGTGTCGAATTTGTTTCAATAAACGAACCATATAACACTAGCGAGCGAACAAATACGCATTTATTATTTTTACATTTTACTTTCCAAGTAAACGACGAGTACGCTGATTAGCACCTTTCACTCGGAAATTAAGCTCTTCCACATCATCCTCAACATGATCCAAAGCTTTGTTGTGCCTGCATTATATGAAAAAATATGGGGGCCAAAAAAACAAAAATCAAAAACAGGAAAAAAAATTAATTCTCAAGGTTCGGTAAAGACAGATTAAATGATGTCACTAGACCTTTCAATTTCCGATCCCATGTCGATTGCCATTTCCTTTAGCTCCCCCAAGATATTGCTCAAGTCTGCAAGGCCATCATCTTGTTTGAGCTTCTCCACCTGCATCACATTTGCAGTAAGGGGTTTATTTAATTATTTCGGAACATATAGCCAAGGGTTTTCTGCAATTATACTGGTCGTAGGTTGTGTTTGATAAGCATATAAGGTAGTTTATAGCTTATTTGATTAGATTAAAAGCTTCTTGTATTCAAATAAGCTTGGTTTGCTAAGATGAGCGTTTTTAAAAAGCTCGAACTTATCTCATTAGTTTCTTCCTTGGGTAGCTTTTCAAACAAGCCCATTGAAATTTTTATTTCATTAGCTAATTTTACCAAACTATTTTATCATACAAGCTAGCTTTTCAGCCATCAGTCATAAGTTATCGGCTATAAGCTCGAAATTCACTTAAAAGCTATAAGCTAGCTTATCATCTAGGTTTACCAAACATAGCCTTAAATTCCCCGAATATTAAACTGGATACACAAAAGTCAATAAAATTCAAGTTTACGAAGGTTTTTGATGATGAGCATACCTCGACTTTCTGCAAGGCATTTGTGGGCTCGGGCAGTGGTTTGTGTGTGTGTGGCCTTTCCTTCGAAGCCTTATTCAACCCGAGCCTCTCCCTCTGCTCCAAATGGTTACCCTTTCTTTGTACAGGATCATCTGCATAAAAAAAAAAGCCCATTGACGACATTAAAAACATGTGCTGAAATTCATAGGAGTGGAGAAAAAAAATTGACCATAACAAGTTACCTCTAGTAATGAAAGGCCCTGTTATTGGGCGATTCTTCTTAGGCTTCCATGTCTTGGAAAACATTCCTCCGAGATTCCCCAAAAGCTTCTCCCCCTAAAATTCAGTCGACAAATAATATTAAACAAACAAAAAAAAATTCAAACTCCCCTCCCCCCTAAATTGTCTAAAACAATTTAATAAAAAATCGAATGCCCATACTCGACTGAGATCGTGGTCCATGTCAGCAGCCACAATGTGGGTCCTCGTAATCTGCTCCCCTTGCTGGTGCAAAGTGACCAAAGTTTTATTAGCATCTTCTCTCATATCCTCAGCTATCTTTAAACAATCATTCACAGTCTTTGTAGTCTCTTCAGCTTTATACACTGCGTAGTTTTCCAAATCCTCTACCGTTTGACTCTCTAATCCACCCGAGTCTCTGAAATCATTCTTGTACCTGTTTCTTGCGGACGAAGCAAGAAAGCCTTGTGAAGTGGGGTTCACTTTAACCTCATCGTCAAAATCAAAAGGATTTGTGTTCAAATTCGAAGTAAGGAGAGAAGGTTCTGATGATGTTCTTGCAGAAGGTTTAAGGGTTTGTTTACTGTCCGACTCATCGTCTGAACCAAAAGGGTTCGAACGGATATTGTTAGCTGGAAATCCAGGTTCGGCAGACTTGTGCTTGGAAAATCTATGCAAGGGAGATTTCTTGTGACCAAACATTTTTTTCTGTCTTTTTTTGCGAAAATGGGATTATTTGTTCTTGAATTCTCTACGAAAACCTGAAGTACAACAAACAAAATGGCATAGAAGCTTTTAAGAACATGCTTTATACTGACAAAAAGATTAGTATCCAACTGTAAGTGACAATAAGTTCAATGAAAGCTCACTTAGCATGATACATGTTACCATAAAGTAGAAAAAAGGGGGAATCGAAAACATGAGTTAAATAAAACAGATGAATCTATATTTGGGGCAGACGATCAAAGCTGCAAATTGTATGCTTCTCCTTCCTTTTCATCGAAAAGTAAAGGATTCGAGACATCAATCCATCAAAGTAATAATCAAGTCAATAATGGAAAAAGGAAAATCAGAAAGCAAATGAAAAGGGCAAAAGGCAAAACTATCAACCAGAAGCCATCATCAACAATCGAGCACATTTTACAAATTCGAGATGACGACATTATACAAAAGGTTATCCAGTAACAGTTGGGATCATCTGAGCTTTTGTGCTTTCACACATATCATAACCAAAACATATATAAGCCAAACTCCAAAGGGTGCTCAGAAAAGTTTATATGTACAACAAGTGCATAAATTCTCAAGGTACAACAACAGAAACTTTCAAATATCGATCAAAGCCGAATATCAAAGAAATCAGTTCAAGACTAAAAATCCCAGAAATGCAAATAACAAAGTCAAAAGTTCGCACAGTATTCCACACAATCAGATAAACTATTTTCTTCC